TGGATAAGTTCTACCCTGTCCTTTAGGGTCACCGTAAGTCAGAGCTTTCATGGGACAGAACATCATTTTTTTCCTTGGAAGGGCAAGAGGAGAGCTGTCCTGAGCTCTATACGATGGCAAATCATATTTCTGGTCTCTCCACTATATAGCAGTGGCCCATCGGTAGGCACTATCCTGTATCGCTGTTAAATTTATATTGATCTATTAAATGAGCTGCTAACTGCAAGATTAGCAGTTCAAAACCACCAACAGCTCCACAAGAGAAAGGTAAAATGTTCTACTTCCATAAAGAGTTAGTCCCAGAAAAGCACACAGCAGTTCTCCTCTGTCCTATAGGGTCGCTATGAGTCAGAATCCAACGGCAGTGAGTCCTCCACCCCTTTTCTATGTGGTACGTATTTTCATTATCTCCAAAATAAAAAAACCAACTCACTGCCATCTAGTGGATGCCAAATTCATAGCGGTCCTATAGAAGCGGGTAGAACTAACTGGCCCTGTGGGTTTTCAGGACTGTACCTCTTAACGCGAATGGAAAGCTTGCTAACCTTGTTAGTTGCCCAAAGCTTAACCATTAAGCCACAGATACCTAAATATCTCCTGGGGTTGAAATTGTAAGCAGTTATGAGCCAGTGATATAATCTATACTAACAGTAATGCTCACATTATTTTATTTAATTTATTTATTTTAATCCTTTTATTAGGGGCTCATACAACTCTTATCACAATCCACACATACATCAATTGTGTGAAGCACATTTGTACATTCATTGCCCTCATCATTCTCTAAACATTTGCTCTCCACCTAAGCCCCTCCTGGCATCAGCTCCTCATTTTTCCCCTCCCTCTCTGCTCCCCCCTCCCTCATGAGCCCTTGATAATTTGTAAATGATTATTTTGTAATACTTTGCCCTGTCCGATGTCTCCCTTCACCCACTTTTCTGTTATCCGTCCCCCAGGGAGGAGGTCACATGTAAGAACTTAGGGGTTACTTTATTAAATTTTCACATAAAACCTTATGTGAAATAGTAATAATTATTCAATCACTATTTTTAATGTCAGTGTTTGTGTTAATGTATGTATGTTTGTGAACACATCGATTTAGACCCAAGCTGAATTTTTAAAGCAGTTTTATTACGGGTTTGCATGAATGGAAGCACCGAGGGTGGTCGGGAGTATGGGTAAAGGTTTTAAAAGTGAGGAACTATGGGAGCACTATGTCAGAATTGATTACATGGCAGTGCGTTTGATTTGGCTGTTGGTTGATAGTGATGACATAGACCCCCAATCTTATACCCAATGCTAGATCCATTGTTAGATACCAAGAAGCAATCCAGTTCTTAGGGAGTTTATTTATTCCCACTCAGGAGAACCCTGTGAGTCATGTGCAGGATTGTACTCCATAGGGCTTTCTAGAATGAGATCTTTCTGAAACAGATCACCAGGACTTTCATCTGAGGCACCTCTAGGTGCAATTAAATGAGAGCTACTTAATATTATAAAAACATTAAAAAGCATATATTTTCTCTTTTCCTGTGTCCTGATTATTCTGCCTTGGTTTCAGCAAGCAATCAGAAGTCAATCTGCATCACTAAGCTGTAGTGACATATTGGACAGACAGGTCTTAAGTTATATATTTATACAATGTGCTTCAGCTCACTTGAGGAACTCACATGTGTGCTGACTATTTGGGCTTAGTGGTCACTATTGGGCTGCGAACTGCAAGGTCATCAGTGGAATCCACCAAGGACTCCACCGGAGAAAGGCGAGACTTGTGTTGTCGTAAAAGTTACAGTTTCAGAAACCCATGGGGACAATGTTTCCCTGTCCTATCCGGTAACTAATAGTAGGAATCTACTCATGGCGGAGATTTTGGTTTTATATACAGAAACACATACAACGTTTTCTTTGTTAGTTAACATGAATATTAAGCATATAGTTTATATATTTTTTGCTTCACTAAGCAAATTTTATTTGAAACAAGAAAATATGGGGCTTGCTTACCAGCTTTTAATTTGCATTTCAGGAGTGCAGACGGGATCCATGCTGTGAATATAAAACATGCAGGTT